CCGCACAGGCGCCCGGGACAGACCCCTGCTCAGCGGCTCAGGACGGTCGGTGTGATTCACGAGAAACACGGGGCCGGGCCAACCGGCGTCCATCCGGCACTTTCTACCCGGAGAACGGCATGGGACCTTCTGCACGTGTCACTTCCCGGATGTGTCACAACAACCCCTGAGACACGTGGCTGCCGACGTCAGGAATGAGGAGCCTGGACCACAGACTCAGTGAGGGCGCTGGGGGAGCCTCTCCCTGCAGACACTGTGTTGAGAGCTGGACACACACACACACACACACACACACACACAGGAAAAGCCCGGCCGGCGTGGCTCAGTGGTGGAGCATCACCTATGACCCAGGAGGTCAGGGTTGGATTCCTGGTCAGGGCACAGGGCCGGGTCACGGGCTCCATCCCCAATAAGGCGCGTGCAGGAGGCAGCCGATCCATGATTCCCTCTCATCACTGATGTTTCTCTCTCTCTCTCTCTCTACCCACGGAGCCACACCGGCCAGGGCAGGGTTTTCTCCCATCGCACTTTACATGCAACGCTCTCTCTCTCTCTCTCGCTCCCTCTCCCTTCCTCTCTGAAGTCAATAAAAATATATTTTAAAAAAAAGAATCACACATGAATCACTCCCCCTGACCCTGAGGGACGTAGGAGGTGAGCCTGCATCATGGGGCGCCCACAGGCCTGTTCCCCGATGATCATCACGGTGCTCTCTCAGGTGTCCGGGCCTGGGCAATGCACAGCCAGCCCATTCACCAGCTTTTTTCAAAGTCACCGGGCAGAGGACAGAGGGCAAAGGGCAAAGGGCAGGGCCAGGGTGCCACCCGTCCGGCATGGAGACACACGATGAGGACAGTGGGCAGCTCACCCGGTCCCCCCACAGCCACACGGCTCTTGTCTTTGCACGAAGGAGGCGGTTAATGAACACACAGGAGAGGGCGTTTTCAGACTGAAACGCAGACACGTGAATGGCCCGCCCGGAGCCCAGCGCCTTCGCCTGCCGGACGGCGCCCCTTACGTGGTGCAACACCGTGGGCCCCAACACGTGCGTCCCGTTCACGTAGGTCCTGGCCTCCCCGACGGGGGCGATGCTCACGGTCCCGTCGACGTGGCTGATGGTGCTGTGGGGATGGAGACACAGTTACGCTCTGGGCAGAGGACGGCGTAGGAGGAAGGGACACAGGACAAGCCGTCGTGGCGGGGTCACTCCTTTGGGGTGAAGGTCCAGATCAACGCGTGACAATAACAGAATTTTCTCACTTGCCTCCAAGCGGACTTTGGGTTTCGGTGGAAAAGCCTGGCCCCCCAGCAAGCGCACCCTCCGCAGGGAGGAAGATGTGCATTGTGGGTATTTTGATCACAACTGCTTTGGAAAAAGGGCCCCCTCCCCCCCAAAGAAAACAGAGAAAAATCCAGGGAAAAGCACAGTAAAATGTTGATGGTGGTTTCCCTCTAAATGGAACAGATGGTCAGTGTCCTTGTGTTCTGCTTTCCTAACGTTCCGGGTTTGTGAGGGAGTGTGTTAATAAGGGGACATATAAGGAACGTTTTCCTGGCGTGAGAGTGGGGGGAGCGGGGAGATAAAAGCCCCTGGCTGAGCCGGCCGGCATGGCTCCGTGGTTGAGCATCGACCTAGGAACCAGGAGGTCACGGTTCGATTCCCGGTCAGAGCACAGGCCCAGGTTGCTGACTCAGTCGCCAGTGTGGGGCGTGCAGGAGGCAGCCGATCCATGATCCTCTCTCATCGTGGATGTTTCTCTCTCTCTCCCTCTCCCTTCCTCTCTGAAATCAATACAAATATACATATTTTTTAAAGCACCTTTCTATTCAGAGAACGGGAAAGAAACCCAGAGTGCAAGTCGTCTTTGGACTAACAGGATGGAAAAGGGGGGAGAGGCCGCCCCACAGTGGGGACGAGTCTGTATGATCACGGGACACTCCGTGTCGCTCCTCCTGGTAAAAGACGCCCTGGGAGGATCACGCCAAGGATTCAGGGCACACGTGTGCCTCCCGTGAGCGGATCGGTCACCCGCAGACAACGGCCAGGGGCCCTCGATTCGGAGAAGGCTGACCTACCAGTGCTCGTCGGCCACCAGCGCCCCGGACAGCTGGATGTCGGGGCGGGAGGTGGGGCCGCGCTTCCCGACCGCGGTGGTGCCCTCCTGGATCACGTACAGCAGCGTCTCCGACAGCTGCGGGTCCTCGCTCAGGTTGACCAGGTTCGGCAGGCGGTTGTCCACTTGGAAGGTGATTCCTGCTTTCTGAAGCCGGAGGGAGGAGAGAGCGTGGTCACAGCGTGACTGTGAGATGGGCTTGAAATGAGCAGAACGGTGGCCACAGGTGACTGTGAGATGGGCTTGAAGTGAGCGGTCCAGGTGAAAGGCTTCTCTCCACCCAACGGCTCTCAGTTAAGGTTCTTAATTTCTCCGTGGGACGTTCCAGTGACGCCCTGATGCCCCTCACATTCCAAGCGCCACCCTGACCTCCACACGGCTTTACACTAACCCTCTCTGGGCCCTGCTTCCTTCAGGGCCAGCTCGGACTCGACAAGTTTAATCTGCGTTTTACTGGTGCCCTTCTCTGACTCCTACCTGTAACTCCTTGATTTCGTGATGTTTTCTTTGTTCGGCCTGTTCAAATTTTTCTTTCCACGCTCTTTCCAAAAACAAACAGAATTCATAGTTTAAAATACATACACATATATATGATTAACAATCAACAATCAACAAAGATTATGAAACCACTTGGGGTTAAATGAGATGGCCTGGGGGTGGGCAGCTGCACACCTGGGAAGAGGGGGGACAGGAAGGGTG